TTCCCGGTGCCAACGCCAAAGGGGCATTTCGCTCCCAAGCGGCGGATGTTCCCGGTGCCAACGCCGAAGGGGCATTTCGCTCCCAAACGGCGGAATGAGGTTGGAGTTCTTCTCTTTTTCCTCCGAACCTCCAGCTGTAGGAGCGGGGACTTTTCGTTCACCCGACTCCTCTTCCTCCTGTCCGGAGGCTTGTGCAGACACGCCTGTCTTTTCCACGGCCAGGAATTTTTCCTGACTAGCGTTGGGAAATAGGCCGCTTCTCTTGCCGTTACGACCCGTCTGGTCCTCCGAAAGGCTACCTGAATCGCCCTCGTGGGCAGAAGACTTCGTTTTATCCTTCTTTTTGGGCCTAACGCCGAAAGAAAATCCGAAAACATAAGGAGTAGGGAAACGAACGTGCACCCCTCTGCGAACGCACAAGGAAAATGGCGGCGAACATTGTCATTACGTCATGATATCCCGTGATGCTTTGCGATTAAAGCTTTGTACACGTGCGCCACCTAGCGATAAGCATAGGAAATACTGCATAAGGTAAATGATATACCCAAATAGGGAGTGTGCAGGTATAACCGCCCTTCGGCTTGTTACACTCAATCTTTGCACATTAAATTGCAGGAGTTGTTTAAAGCTTTCTAGTGATGATGCCCCAACTGTGCTTGGTGGCAACGAGTTCCAGTCTACGATAGTTCTGGGGAAATACGAGTTTTTGAATACCTCAATTCTTGGTTGATATCTCTGATATTTGAAGGCATGACTGTTTCTAGTTCTTTTATAGGCTGGTACAGATACTTAGTAGTTGGTACGTCCACCAGTTTAGTTAGTTATTTTGTACATCATGCACAGTCTTCCAGCGACCACACTGTAGGTTTCTTTTCATACCTTTTCAAGGTGCTGGCGTCTTCTGGACAGGACAGGGTGAACGACCCTCACCTGTGGTTTAAGGACGTGAACGGGACGGTCATAGCGACCGCGAGGGGAGTTTCCGACGACAGCAACACCACGCAGCTCCGCAAGTGGTCGATCTGCAGCACCGGGAACCTGCAGGTGGTGTTCGGTAACTCCAGCAGGAGCTGGCTCGCGTTGCCGCAGAACCGGTGGATGATCCTCCTGACTCTGACCGTGAAGGCTCTAAGAGACGCGAGTAGAGGCACGGACGGCGTGGTGCACTACAACGAGTGCCAGGCCGCGCACTGGACCATGGTGCTGGGCGTGCCCATGTTCATAGTTACCGGCGTGGTCTACATGGTCTACCTCGGCACCAAGTGCAGCAAGAGCCTGGCAACAAACATATCCAGACGGTACAGCACGGCAAGTGCCATCGCGTAGGAGTAGTAAGTGGTTCGTTTTCTTATGCTGAGGTCACATTTCCAAACCGGGGCCGGACCGGGCAGTCTTATGGAACGAAAAGTATGATATAAAAGACAACAAAGCACAAAATAAGTTGAAAAATTAATAATGGGAACTATCTGCGTATATCTTGGATATAAATTGTTGTTTTTTCGTTAATCGAAACAGCCCGGCCGGGCCCCGGTTTAGAAATGTGACCTCAGTATTATCCCATTAAAGGCATCCAGTGCAGTTTTTAGGGCTTGGAAACCTGATTTTTCAAAGGCAATATTCTAGAGTTGAAACCACATTGTCCCAATGTATATTGACCCTCACGGAGCAAAAATTCCCCAAATGCTGACGGTTCGAAAATGGTTACTGGAAGGCCCTGGGCTGATTTTCAGGGTACCACCCAGGACAGGACTCCTCTTGGGGATTTTTTTCTGCAGTTTTACATGCCCAAAGTATGAAATGTTGATTCAAATGTGCTAATGTGAAGTAGTATGTATCAATATAAAAAAGATTGCCTTTTCAAAATATTTCCAGTTTTGCTGCCCTGAAATCGCACTGGATGCCTTTAAAAAAACGTATGCAATTTAGTGATTAAAAAAAGGCTGCTATCATCTGACTATGTCGGAAATATACAATGTATATATATATATATATATATATA